ATTTAAAAAAAAAAGGGGGTTTTTTTACAAAACCCCCCCCCCCCCCCCCCCCAAACTCAAGGAAATCCAGGTACTGTTAAGTAACTCCTTTCACTCCCTTTCTTTTTCAGTTAAGTGAATGGGCAAGCGTGATAGGAAATCACTGAGATAAAACTATGAAAATAAAGATTTTTATCCTTAAATACAAACTGGTATTTTAAGATAATGTTAAGGTCAAGTTCACATAATTGAAAAAAGTTATAGAGCCATTTTGTCCTTATCATTACTACGTCCCTATCTCTAAATTCCACCCCTTGAGCACTTACACTGCTGCATGAATGGTTTTATCTAACCTGAAGAGATTTGCACTCATGTTTGCAATGGAGGCCATTTCTAAAGGGGAAAAATCAAGCCCTAAAAATATAAGGGAAGATTTTTTTTTCTTTTCAATAAATGAAAAGTGTGAGACTAAAATCTATTAATTTTCTAAGGTGTTTTGCGGGAATTGGAAAATTCAGGTCACAAACGTACCTTTATATAAGGAAGCACTTGTCCCAAAGATAGTTCACTACAAAAATCACTTGCTAAGTTTAGGCTGAAATTGTTAATTTTTTTCCAACTATGAAAATGTTAACATTTCAAGAGATTTTTAAGACACCATAGCTGCTCAAGTAAGTGTCCTTTCACATTCAAAAATGCTTATGTGTTCCTAACCCGTTTCTGCAGGTTCTTCAGCGACTGAGCTGCATGGCATTGAGAAATAAAATATTCCTAGTGGCAAACATAGGAGCTAAGCAGCCCTGTGAGCACAGTGATGTACGCTGTCCACCTGATGGCAGATACCAGTTTAATACAGATGTTGTGTTTGATGACAGTGGTACGCTGGTAGCTAGATACCGCAAACAAAACCTGTATTTTGAGTATTCCTATGATACCCCATCAATAGTTGATTATTCAATTTTTGATACACCTTTTGCTGGCAAGTTTGGCATATTCACTTGTTTCGATATACTCTTCTATGAGCCTGCAGTGAGACTTATCAAGCAGTACAATGTGAAGCAGGTTGTGTATCCAACTGCATGGATGAACCAGCTCCCGCTCTTGTCTGCTGTGGAATTTCAGCAAGCTTTTGCAACTGCTTTCAGCATCAATATTTTGGCAGCTAATATCCACCACTCCACTTTGGGTATGACAGGCAGTGGCATATACACTCCATCAAAGTCCTTCATTTATCATGACCTAAGAAGTCACAATGGCAAGCTCATAGTAGCGGAGATCCCAGTGATTACACCTGATCGTGAAACCAATTGGGAGAGTAGTACAAAATATGGGGAGACCATAGATCTCCCCAACAAAAATTTTGCAAGTCTCCCTCTAAATGATCAAGTTTGTCATAAAAAGGATCAAGAGGCTCATTGCACGGTAGCAGGTAAAGCAGATGAAGAACTCTTGCCAGTATTTTATGCAGAGATGATGTATGATAATTTCACTTTTGTTCCTGTAAGGGGACAAGAAGGGGAGGTCCAGGTTTGTGCCAACTCCCTCTGTTGTTACTCACATTACCAGAGACCTGTTTTATCTGATGAAGTGTATGCACTGGGAGTCTTTGATGGGCTTCACACAGTGCATGGCACATACTATGTTCAGGCCTGTGCATTAGTGAAGTGTGGTGGCCTCAGCTATAGCACCTGTGGGCAGGAGGTTACGAATGCAACTGCTTTGATACATTTCCAGCTGTGGGGAAACTTCAGTACTTCCTATATCTTTCCTCTACTGCTGACATCTGATGTTACATTGGACTTTCCTGACCACTTGGGTTGGAAAAACAACTACTATTTCATGGACAAAAATGGATTATCCTCTGGCTTAGTGACAGCTGCTTTATATGGGCGATGGTATGAGAAGGACTAGCACAGATATCTGATCCAACCAGAAATCATCTAATCAGAATTTTCGGTTTTGACATCTAAACCGCGTGGCCTTAATTTCAGAGATGCTAAACACCTGCATCCCTCAGGATTTAAGTTATTGACACTGAAGATACGATTCTATTATGAAGCATCCACATTAGAGAATATTGACTGAATTCCTTTATCTTCAGAACAGGTCATAAACCCAGGGTCTCTACCTTGCTAAAATATCACCTACTAAAAACAAAACCACCTTCTCCCTCAGAACAAGAGACCATATTTACATTTGACAAGAGACTTTTTTATTATGAAAATGCAGCCCCTCCCGTAACATACACTGAAGACGTGATTAACCAATTAATCACATCTTCAGTTGTAATAACCCAGCCATACACTAAAGCATTTAATGGTAGCATAAAACAAGGAATAAGCTGTAAAGTTATACCACAAAAAATGTCTAATAACTGGGTGGCTGGTTCCTGTCATGGCATTAATTGAACGTGTGGCCAACTTGCTACTTTTCAGTGCACCAGCAATAAGGCACAATGGGATCTGAAGCTCAATCCCACAATCATGCCTCTTGCCATGGCCTCTCGTACAAGAGGCCTCTTGCCATGTGTGGATTGCACATGAGATCCCACTATGCCTTTACGTGCAAATCTAGTAGTCATAGAGCTCATTTTGTTTTAAATTCTAGAAAAGCAATACAGTTAGGGATTTTAAGTATTATGGAGGGCTTTCAGGGAGGATTTTAAAATCTATTATTGACAGGTTTCTAACAAGAAAGTTTATTTTTGTGATCAATACTGATGAATCTAGATGTGAATTTTGTTAGCTGTAAGTTTTGCACAGGTTAGTACCAGGGTCAGGCTTTGATACCCATGACAAATAAAAACAACCTGTAAGTATGATGCGTAAAAATAAGCCTTTTTAGCAAGTACAAGTGCTTGGGGTTTCTTAACATTTTGCTGATGGTTGCTTCAGCATTTCATTTACATTTTCTAGAAAACAGAAAAATTAGATAGTTTTAAAGTAAAAGCTGTCATGATAACTTTTAGCATAGGACAACTACATCCTGTCACTGTCTGAGATTGAAGGAACGGAGAAAAAGACAGCAACAAAGCAGCTTGAGTGGAGAAAAAAATACTACAAGAAAGAGGAATCAGTAGAAGGAGAACCAGGAAAAAGGTATGGAGCCAAATGGAGGAGCAATAGGGAAGATGTAAGAACAGTAAACCTGCCTGTGAGATAGGGCCTTCTACAAGTGGTCTAGTTCTGCACTCACAGTTTAGCATAATAAGCATCTCCTAATTTTAGGAAATAAAAAGTATAATGCTAAAGTTGGTCCTTAGTTTTGGCTGTGTAAAACAGCAGTTGAACTTACCATTACAGTTTTGGTCATCTGAAACTTGCTGCACCATTATGAACATTTATAGAGAATTTGTATTTGTCTGGGAACAAAAATGAAATCGAATGTGAAAAATTCAAGCTTCAGTGTAAGACTTCATTTGCATCATAGTATGCAAGGCACTGTGCTAAAAAGGTAGTTACAGCTACATTTTTATATTAATTACTCTATTACCTATGCTGCTCTGGTGTTTCAATCTGCTCCAATTTAAAGGTGATGTTATATTAAGATGGTTATAATTTTGAGATGTTTTACCTCATAGTTCATAAAATCATTTAATAGGATTTGCAAAAAGCTCCTAATGGATTAGGGGATTAAAAGGTTTTATATAAAAAAATTGTATATGCTAGATGGAAGGATACTGGTGAACAGTCAAGCTGATAAATTAGGAAAACCCATTGTTTCTGGAGCAATAGCTATGATTTATGTGTTATATTACTGTACCATGCTGACAAACTATTATACTACTATGAAGTGAGAAGAGAGGATGATTCCAAAAGATCACATTAATTCTTAGTTGAGTTTGCCCCAAAATGTATTTTTATTCCTTAGACAGCACAGTGTTACGTTGCTTTAATGGTTCTTATGCTGCTGGATGATTAACCTATAGATGTAGTCATTACATTAACACAGTTGCTTGCTGTCCTGACTAGAAGGAGGATACAAGTCTGACAAGAGACCAACACTTCTCAGAACTGGTTTAGTCATTCCAAGGAAATATTCAGAATTACATGCTTACTTAAGCAGTGTGAATTGTCTCCACGATTCTCCTTACTAGACGGGATAGTAATATACATCTGGTCATCTTTGGCACTAGATAAGTGGTATCAGCATGACAGTTAAAAGGTGTATTGTGTATACTGAAGCAAGTAAAGTTGATGATTAAGGATTCTTTTCTTTGAAATATTTCATTTTAGGGTTTCAGGAAATGTGACAACCTGAAGAAAATTCTGAATGTATACTTTAGGCTTTGTGTGCATCTATACGGTAATTACCTTATTAACCTGAATCCAAGATGACTTTGAATTTAAGATGACCCCCCCAGTAATCAGATTCTAGACATGGAAAGTTTATAAATGTTTTTATAATTTTCCACATGTAGAAATCTAATTTTGTAGGTTTGTCTTAAAGTCTTAAATACAGGCATAGGTGCCAGAAGTAGCAGCCGGGGGCAGTGGGCAAATAAAGTGGCCTGACTCCTGCTCCTTGCCACTTCTTCCCCCACATTTGCCCCCTACCTGCTGCCTCCCCACCTAGTGCTTGCATGCCCTGTGCT